TATTATCAAAGCTTTAAAAAGTACTACAATAACAAAAAAAAGGAAATCATAACAACAACAACAAAAATGAAGTGGAATAAAAAAATACCCTATCCAAAAGCAGTTAATGACAAAAAAAGAAAACAAAAAATATGGGAAAATAGATAACAAATTTTAGATTTAAACATAATTAAATCACATTATGTATAAATGAGCTAAACATCAGAATTAAAAGGAAGAAATTGTCAGACCAATAAAAAAGTAAAACTCAGTTAAATGAAATGTACTTTAAAAATAGATGTAGCACATTTTTATGCCAATCAAAGAAACTGACATGATCAAATTAAAGAGTAAAAATACTACCAGAGACAAAGAAACTAATTTCACATGGAAAACAAGAGCATCATCCATCAAGAGTGCAGAAGAGTCCCTAAACTTTTATGAACCTAGAAACAGAGCTTCCAAACAAATAAAACTGAAACAACACAAAGAGGAACAGATAAATCTACAATGATAGCTGCAGATTTCAAGATGACGCTCTCAATCCTTGGTAAAGTAAGTAAGCAGAAAATAGCAAGATTATGAAAGACTTGAAAGTCACTATCAAGTAACATTGGTCGATTACACATTCTCTCCTACTACATAGAAAACACTTACCAAGATAGACTATATTCTAAGTCATAAAACAAGTTTCAGTAAATTTAAAGAACCCCCCCATCATACAAACTATATCTTCCAACTACAATAAAATTTAATTAGAGATCATTAACAAAGTCTCTGGAAAATTCTTTAACTAATCAGAACAAAACCGCATGCCTATAAATAACCCACAAGGCAAGAACAAAATCAAAAGAAATAAAAAGGTATTTTCAACATATGTAAACATATGTAAACACACCAAATCACAGTTTATGGGATGTCACTAAAGCATCACGGGGTGAGGGGGAGGAATTTATAATACTAAATACTTTCAGTTAAAAAAAAAAAAAGAAAAAGATCTGAAGTCAACATCCTTAGCTTAAAATTTAAGAAAATGGAAAAGAATAAATACAAAGTAAGCAGATTATAAGTATTAGCACAATTCAAAGTAGAAACATTTTAAAAAATTTAATGAAATCAAAAGCTGATTTCATAAAACAAATGAAATTTTAAACATATATTTGATCAAGAAAAAAAGTGATACAAATTACCAAGAAAGAAATGAGAGGAGCAAAATCACTACACAGTCTAAGCCTTTTTTACCAAAGAAAAATCTGGATGGCAGAAATGCTTATCATCAGTAGTCACTAGAGAAATGCAAAATAAGACCATAACAAGAAACTAACACAAATCCACTAGAACAGCAACAAATTTTTACATACTGGTTACTCCAAGTTCCTGCAAGAACATAGAGGAATTGGAACTCACACACACTGTGAGAGGTAATGTAAAATGAGAAACCACTTGGAAAAAATTTGGCAGTTTCTTAAACTACTATATGACCTAGCTATTCCTCTCCTAGGTATTTACTCAAAAGAAGAGAAAACTATGACTATACAATAGTAGATGTTCAAAAAACTTTATTTCTAACACCCCCAAGCTAGAAACATCCACCACAAACTGAAGCAGAAACAAATTCTGCTGCATCTACCAATGGGATATTACCTACTAATAAAAAGGAATGACTGTTGTTAATATATACAACATAGACAAAACTCAAAACAATCAAGCCAGACCAAAAACAAACAAACAAAAAAAAGTACATAACATGTGCTCTCATTTATATAAAATTCTAGATAATGCAAACTACCCTGTATTACAGCAAGCAGATGAGTGTTTGCCGAAGGGTTGTGAGGCAAAAAAGGGTCATGAAAGGATACCAAAGAAACTTTGGGGTATTATGATTTCAAGAGAATGTAAAATTTCAAAACCTACCAATCTGTAAACTTTGGATATATATAACAGTTTATAATTTGCCAATTATACCTCAATAAAATTTTTATTTTTTTAAGGTTTATTTATTTTTATATACAAGAACTGGGGTGCAGGATATAGGTGCAAGGAGTGAGAGTATTCACCAGAGGCAGAGTGAGGAACAGAAAAGGCAGACTGACTGAAATACACTGCTTAGGGGGCAAGCGGGTGAGACAGGAGAGGTCTGCTGGCTATGTAGGTCAGCTCTCTGGCTGGGGATTGAACTTGTTCTGCATTGACTATAGATAGTTTCACAGTGCTGCACTTTAACCCCTTGCACCACCGGGGAACCCTCAATAAAGTTTTTAAGAGCCCCTCAAAGGGAAGTGATAAAGAAAATTTTAAAGCAGGAAACTTGTCATAATCTCAAACATAAGGGATACAGCTTGTAAGGCTGAATTTCTGAAATTTCTAGATGTTATCATATGCCCCTGAAATTAATCTAACCAATTTTAACCATGCCAGTTAATAGCAAAATATATAAATAAATCTCCAAGTCAAAACTGAACCTAACAAATATACTTGAAAATTATTTTTAAATAAAGTACACTGTTTGGGGGCAAAAAAAGAAAAAAGGCAACTTTTAATAGACAGTACTTGAATTTAAAAAAGAAAATACTGATATCTGCAGAAATTCTGTAAAAGCCACTTCTTCTCGTATTGGTAAAGGCAAGGCAACACTGCAGTGCTTATTAGATTAAGAAGCCTACAGTATGTCAGGTAAAGCACCATCAGAAAGTAACGTATTTCTGTTTCCTTCATGTTCCTTCAGTCTACATTTTAAAAACCAATTAAGAGAAACAGTAGGGGCACTGAGTTCCGACACACAAGAGAACATTATTACTTTTATATGTTCCTTTGGGTTGAGGTATTGCTTGTATCATTATTTGTACTTTTGTATGGAAAATATTTTCACATACTTTTTTCAAATTAAATTCTGAGATACATGTCATTTTTTTATTATATCGTAAATATAACTTAATTTCAGGGAACCTGATCATATTTTTCAAATTTCTTTTATTGCAGCAACTTTAGTTTGTATCACCCTCTGCTTGTAGGTATATAATTTACACCTTTTCAAATGTGTGTTACCATACCACATACCAATGTTCTAATAACCCCAATCCTATTTCTATAAAAGTTCTGATTTACTAATCAACCTTCTTTTTTCAATTTGCATTCTTTCCCTGTCAATTAATTTTCAAAATTCCAATTTTGAAAAATGCATTGCTCATCTCCTTAATGTAAAAATTATAAATTCTTGGGTCCTCACTGGAAGATAAAGCCACTTCAGCATGAGTTCAATCCCTGCAATGGAGGTGATCCACATGGTGCGGCAGACCTCTCCTGACCCACCCACTGCTCCCCTCAGGTATGTAGTTAGTCGGCCCCTTCTGCTCCCCATTCTGTCTCTGGTGAATCCTCTCACCATCCCTGCACCTCTGTCCTGGACCCAAGTTCTGTATGCATCAATAAATAAATATTTTTTAAAAATTATGAATTCTTACACATATGTGTAATGCAAAATAAATCAAACAATCACAGTCTATACCCTTTCTAAATCAGTGTCAGTGGAATTATCCACCACCCCTCTCCCCCAACCAAATTCCAAGGGACATCTCTGATACAAAACAACCCCCATTGTTACTTCATTCCTTCTCACAGAAAGAAATTCATATTAAAAAAAAACAACTCACAACTCACTGTTTCTCAAGCTTTTAGTTTAAAAATTACTTAAGGAAAATATGATTTGTACATGGGCCAATAAATTTTAGGTAATTTTGTTCCAAAGGATCATAATTTGTTTAAATAAATAGCAATATATCATAACAATGTGAGGATATTTCGATTTTATGAACTGCAAAGCAAAACAAATTATTATTTCAAATATTACATCACCTTTTTTTCCCCTCAAGTTACCAAACTCATAGTGGTTCTTAAAAAAAGAAACAAAAAGAACAACCAATATTTTGCATCATATGCTGAAAAATACTGAACTAACTCATCAAGCAAGAAGTTGGATAATTTTCTCTCATTACCACAATCTCTGGCCACACTTTTCCTCTGTATTTCTACCCAAGGCTAATTGTTCTATCTGTACAACCACATTAGATCCTTCACTCATCAACACTGACCAAGGGATCTTGTTCATTTATCCCTTTTATATGCCTAGCTTCTTCTAAAATTGATTCTAAATCTTTCTCACTGAGATATAAACATATTCAAATATTTGTACCTTTAAAAAAAGTGGGAAGGTAAAGAGAGTAAGGTACTTTATTTATCCCACACATCCCACATATATTTTATATCCCTACCATCTCATAGCCCATAAGCATAACTCAGTCTAGAAAGCTGGTATTAAATCTAGTTAATAGTATTTATTTTATTTTACTGAGGTAACAATGATAATATTTTTTATTAGACTGCCAAAGACTATTATATTCCATTCAAAGGCAAATCTTTGTCATGTAGCTTGACTCTTCCCTTTTTGGAGAAACTTCTCTTGAGGAGAAGGCAAGCTTAAGCACTGACTCAAGATGGGCATCTGGTAGTGGATGAGGTGTAAAATAAACAGGTGCTGAAGTAAGAAGCTGAACATCTGAAACTTATACCACACTGTAGACCAACGTGACCTCAGTAAAGATACAAAAAGATTCAATCAAGACAGGACAATGAAGATGTATGCTTAAGTCTAGCCAAAATGGGAAAGTACTTAGCTAACATATTTCCCCTGGAAAATGAAAATATACAAACACATGTTATTCCTAAGAATCAGAAGCTTAAAGTTCTTAATCACATGTGCCACTACTAGAGGATGCTTTTGTTAAGGGGAAGGAGGTCCTAAAGGAACTCTGCAGAGTCTTGTGGATCCCACCCCTACTCCAGCTTTCTGAACTCTACTCCAGTGATTGGAAACTACAACTTCCAGCAGTACCAGGGAGAGAATTGCAAAGACCCAAGGGCAGAGCTAGCAGGAATTCTGGGACATTTGGGGGATAAATAGGGAGTAACAGCATCTCTCTCTCTCTGGCTCAGGAAACGGCTCTCCAGACCATGTGACTGGGTGTTTTCAGTCAATGAGCAGGTAAGGTTACTTTGTATCCCGCTCTCTTTCCCTGGGTTGTTTCCTATTCCTTTCCCCTTTTGTAAATAAACCCATTATTGACCCTTTTGTGTGTCCCTGCAGTGTAACTGAATTTTGAGGAGCGGGTGAGGCCCCACAAACAGGCGGCCCAGTCCACTCTGGGCTACCCTGTAACAGTTTTGGCTACTTAAGATAATCAAAGAGTCTAGGGAGAACAAAGGAAAAGAATGATAAATCTAATCACATTAAAGCTCAATGAAAAAGTAAAAAAAAGAAAATGTACAAATGATGAAAAAATTATGTTACATGATAAGTATAAAGAGCTCTCACAAATGAAAAACTCAAAAAGCAGACAAAACATGACTAGTCGATCAAAAGATAAAAATAAACAACATCTAAAAAAATATGTCCATCCTCATCCATACTTAAAGATACCCAAATTAAGGAAAGACTTTTTCAATTACATATATAGCAAAGCAAAAGGTTTGACAATAACATTAGAAAGAAAGGAAAAGTCATTTTTGCATAGGCCTGGTAAAAGTGTACATTGTTTGGGCCTTCCCTGGTGGCAGCGGGTTAAAGCACAGCACTAAGATGCTAAAGCCACTTCAGTGTGAGTTCAATCCCCGCCCAGGAGGTAATCCACATGGCACGGCACACCTGTCCTGACCTGCCCACTGCTTCCCTCAGCAATGTACTTCATCAATCAGCCGGTTCTGCTCCCTACTCTGTCTCTGGTGAATCCTCTCACCACCCCTGCACCTCTGGTCTGTACCCCAGTTCTGTATGCATAAATCGATAAATCTTAAAAAAAAAAGTGCATACTGTTTAATACAATACATGTATAACTGCATTTCTTGAAATTCACATTACAGCTTGCTTTAAATATGGAGCAAATATACACATACAACTCATTACAGCTCTATTCATAAAAAGCAACAAACTGGAAAACAACTTAATGACCATAAATACTCCTATTTAAAGAAATACTAACATAGGTAAGTTTCAAAATAGACTATTAAAGTCTTATCATTGAAAAAAGCTTACACATATAAACTAATGTGAAAAGATCTCTTAATATAAACTGATAAGAAATGAATGCTTGGCAACAGTATATGCATTGTGAAGCTATGTAATTTAAATATATTTGCTTTATCTCCTATAAAAAGGTCACAGACTCAGGAAATGGCCATGTGTTACATACTATGACCAGATAAAACGCAGAACAATAATTTATATGACACTCAGTTAAACTCACAATCCAGGTAAGTAACTATTTTTTGTGTGTAAGTATGATCAAATATTACAAAGGACTTACTTTTTTAAATTTACTAAGTATGGAAACCCTAGCTGGATAACACAATTCAGATCCAACCGCAGCTGTCTCAGACTATGATTTCTTCTTTCAGCTCTATGAAAGTTCTAAAGTGAGTGTGTAGGTTTTTTTCTTTCTTTTTCTAGTTCTAAAACTGATATGTTTTAAAGCTTCCTAGAATTCTGGCATTTTATAAAGAGTTCAACATATACCCAGGATACTGTTCAGACAAATGAACAGCTTCAAATAATCCTTCACTGAATCTTTGTAGTCCCTGAAAACAGGCATTTGTCACGTCCCTACCTTGGTCTCTTACTTTACACCACTCTTACACTCAGACCTTTTTTTTCTCATATATGTGGATGATTCCTAGACTGTTCTTTTCCTCTCCAGCCAATCACAGAATTCATGGAAAACCTCAAACCAACATAAAAATTAACACAGCTAACAAAAAATATAATGCAAAAAAATATATACATAGCTTTTAGTGAATGTAACAACATATATCTCTCAGAAGTTACAGTTTAAGTATGACATGCAAACAAGAAGCAACTAGAGAACCAGAGGAAATATTAAAAGTGTAAGAGCTTCAAATACTCTGATTAGTTGCAGTCAAAGAAGACTTTAGGTCACCCAAATGCTAGCTAACCCCAGGGATAGTCTCATCCCATTAGCAACTGAGACTGGAAACAGTCTACTTCCCAGACTACTTAGAATGAAGCCTGGACTATTATGTGTACAGACTTAGACACTCTCTAATCCTGCCCTGCTTAGCCAGGCAACACAATTGGAATTCTTCTCTGGTCTGCTGGGAGCAAAGCCCAGAGTTGAACTACAGCTCATTTGACTGGAGCTACCATTACTCAGACCAGATCAAGCCTCCCACTGAAAGCAACACACTGTGCTTTATAATCCACAGCTTCAGATAGTCATTATCAAAAGCGATTTACCAGATTCACAACCCACAGCACAATGCTTAATCCTACTGCCACCAGTGAATTCATTATTTCCTAAAAGCTCTCTCTTTAGCATCCCATTCATCTTAATGATTACTGAAGTATAAGTTAGTTATTATCCTTTAGAGACCTATGTTCTATGTGTGGCTAGCTTTAATAAGACCAGCCTTTTAGTTAAATTAGGTCTTCCTAGGTGTGATTGCCATCAACCTAAGCTTCCTATTCTATTGATCCAGTCTTACAGAATAACAAAATCAGCAAGAGTCCTATTTTCCTTAATCATTCTAGATACAACTATCCTACCTATGCTTTGCTTTTAAAACTCATCTTTCAACATTTTTAAAACCTGTCCATATCAAAAGTAGTTTATTTCTTTCACCACAAAACCACCACCATAAATTACCCTTCCCTCTGTAGGATTTTTCACATATCTTGCTCACTTCGCTTTTGAGTTATGGCAATATATTTCCCTTTAGAATATTTCTCCAAGACTTCCAGGAAGCATACAATATTTACATTTATGATTATAATTAACAATAATTTCCTTCAAAGGTTATACAGCTGCAGTAACAAAACCTACCAAAGCATCTCCTATAGCAATTTGAAAGAATTATTTTAAACCCCTTTAAAAGAATTATCAACTCATTTTTTAGGCTGCAAATACACACTACTTGAACAAATATAACTACTGAATTCTTCCAACTTTTCATTAAATAAAACTGAAATGAAATATAAAATGAAATTACCCAATTGTTAAATGTGCCTATCTTATCTTTTCCATTCAATTTAATTAATAAAAAAACACAACATATCTAATAATATGTAATATTTAATTAACTAATACTAGTTAATTAACATTCAATTCAGCTTTTTGAATACTCTGAACCTTAATAGTCATTTATCAGCTTAAAAAAACAAAGAAAGTACCCAGCAAATGGAGACTCTGTGTCCTGCAGATGTTCTTTTATCGGAGAATCGTCTTTTATGCTTTCATGCTGAGATTTCTCACTGACTTCTGAAATGCGGGTACAATCATCACTGCGCCTAGCTTCTAAAGGCTTTCGACTTGAATGCTTCCTGTCTCCTTCTGTCCCATCAGATCGACTCCATGAAGTCAAACTCTCTTCACAGTTGTCTGTGGGCTTTCGAAAACTACAATGTACAGAATCCTGAGTGAACAGTGCTGAAGAGGAACTGGAGGGTTCCAAATGCCTGTCCTTTCTATGATATGACACCTCTTCGTCATCAGAAGGTCTTAAGAATTTTGGTCTCGAATTTCCAAAAGAAGAAAACTGACTTTGCTTTGGATTGGATTCTCTTCTCCATGTTGCTAAAGACTCAGATCTCTTATCTTTTGCATCACCACTAAACTTATCTTTACTGATATTGTTGGCAGTATCCCTTGAACTTTTATTATGTTTTACCAAGTCTGATTTTCTACTTTCTTCACAATTTTGTGTCTTATCTGAATATGTAGGTTTCCTCCACCGTTCTCTTCTGCTATCTTCCTTTGTAGATGCAGTTTTTTCAGCTTCTTCTAATTTCGACTGAAATATTTCCATTGACTACAAAGAAGGATACAGAATACAGAAGATTCAAACACACAAAGAAAATTCTTCACAAAGACTAAATGTAAAAATATATAAATACATTTTTTAAAAAAGATTAGATTGGAAAAGAGGAAGTAAAGTAAATACATAAATAGATAAGAGTAGGTAGGTAACAGCACATTACCAGAAAGGAAAAAAAAAAGTAAGATTTATCAACTTTTTGCCACAATACTATATTCTGAAAGATGAAGAAATAAATAAATCACTTATTGATTCTACGAATATTCAGGAACATTAATCCAAACCAGAAATGATTTAGAGAAAAGACCTCTGAGAAAAGAAGGTATGCATAAACCAATGGCAAATGTTATAGCTAAGTCTAAATAATTGTCCTTGTAGCTATAAAATTTAACACAACTGTCAAGATATAAGGTGTCAAAATTTTAAATTATAGTAAACGAATTAAATTTTGAAATGATTTCAATAAAACTGAAAGGTAATATGGGGAATCAAAACATACTTAAGTTATTGTCTTAACCTAACCGGAGATAATTCCTTTAAGAAAAGTACAGATTTAATGTGCTTCTTAAATTTAACAACAACAGGAATAGAAATGTTCAAGGGGGGGTCACAGGGGTGTGGGTGTGTAGAGAGGAGGGGGATATATTAATAATGAAAGCACAGGTAGCTTTTTCCTTTCCTAGTGACACACATTAATGGTGTGGCTACAACTAGTGTCTTCTTAAGAGTCAATAAAATAGTCATAATAAAAACAACAAAAAGAGCAGTTATCACGATTTATCCGATGCTTATTACATCTTTTGCATCTGTAAGTGGATCCTAGATACACTGTATAAATTCAAATCATTTATCAAACCATATAATCTCAAGTATTTAACCTCAGTTTCCTGATTTACAAAACACGTCACTGTTGTGGGTACTAAATGAGATTTTAAAAGCACCTGGTGCATGGAAAGCACTCAAATTATTATTTTTATAATAATAGTGAGGTTGATAGTAATAGTCATGTTTTTAAAATTTAAAAAATGAAGCTAAGGTCACAAAAGTAATGAATTTCAGGGATATTTGCCTTCAAAATCCATTTTTAACTGCCATGTCAAGATATCTCACTCTGAGATTCTAACTGTAGTTTTTAGAATTCACTAATAAACTTACAATGACTCCTACTATTAAAAAAAAAGTTCAAAGGAAACGAAAGGCACATACTATACAAAGAAATATAAATTTAAAAATTAAATGCTAACATATTTAGTTCAATGCCATGATCAGATAGGAATCACAAAAGTATGTAAGAATGGTCCCACATTACACAACATATTAATGCAATTCGTCTTACTGGCGAATAAATGAGAACAAAAAGTCCTATCATCTCCAAGAATACTAAAAATTGTTTCACAAAAATAAGACATCCATTTCTAATTTGATAGTAAAAGTACCTCTAGCTAATATCTGAAAACAACAATCATTTTAAAGATGACTCTCTATGTAAGATGAAAATTGTCATTACTTAAAAATGGGGAAAAAAAGAAGAAAGTGAGTTTCTATGATTTTCATCAAAGCTCTAAAATTCTAATTCAAGAAGACAGCAAAAGTAAAATATAGCAATACTGAGGGCAAAAACAAATGTACCATCATTTGCATGTAACTATAAGATAACAAAAACATGTTTTTAGATATTTGCATGTACCTATCAGATAACAAAAACATGTTTTTAGACATTAATAATAGTAATTTAGAAAACTAGTAGAATAGCACCAGTAGTTATGTCAGAAACTGTAACAGGAAAAAAGATTTAACATATAATTGAAAAAATAATTTAACATAACTGTAAGGACACATGCATCATAACTACACAGAGAAATATACTGAGGAGCACAAACAAAAATTTGACTAAATATCTAGTATTTTAGGATTAGATGATATGACATATAAACAAACAACTGCCTTGATTTATCTACACTCTTAGTTAAATCTGAATCAAAATTCTAAGAGTTGTAAGTTTATAATGGATTTTGAAAAAAGTTTGTTTCTGCTGAGCTTAAAAAAAGTTCTAAATTTAAAAACTATATACATAAAGTATCTTTTTAATATTTTGATAGCATAAGAGGCGCCCCTCCCCTTCTAGGGTGGTCAACATAGTTTTCCCACCACCAAAGCACCCATAATACTCCACTATAGTCCACTATGAAAAAGTTAATATTTTAATGACCACTAAAAAAAAATGTTCCACAGTGGGTGCTCATTAATTATTTGCTATTCTGCATAAGTTATTGAAAACTATAATTATAACAGTATGATACTGATTCCAGGAAACAAAAGACAAATTGAGAGTAAAAAGAACAGATCCATTTTATAAAATATGATTAATATACAATAAATGTGTTATTCCCAAGTAGTGGGAAAAGACTAATCACACAAAATATTTTAAACAACTTCTAAAAGACTTAAGGAAAGTTAAATCCCTACTTTATAACATATATAAACATATAAAAACATGCATACAAATAAAACTGAACAAGTACTCAAAGGACTTGTGTGCATATTTTTATAATGGGGGATAAAGAAGATGTTAATGAATTAAGATGAAGTCATAAAAGAAGAACTTGATGGATTATGTTTGACAAAAATATCTAAAGCAGCCATAGCAAATACAGAGAAAGTTAAAACAAACCTGAAACTAAGTGAAGCATTTGAACAAATTAAAAAACAAAGAATACAATCAACAATTTACTTAAAAATACAAATGGCAAAAAAAAGCATACAAATCACTAATAAACAAATATATAGAAATAAAAGCAAAGAAAAAATGTTTACAAATTACAGTTGCACAGACTATAATGAATGATACTGCTGTTGAAAATCAGGTGATAAGAGTCATTTAATAAGTGCAATCTGTTCAATATCTTTAGTAGAGATTTTGACAACATATATTTTACTTTAAGTGTCCATATTCTTTAAAACATCAATTTCGTTTACAGTGATTCATTTGAGAATACACCAGATAAGTATGCAAAATGCAAGATGATCAGCAAAGTGCTACTTAATAAGGGGAAAAATGAAAACATAAATGTCACTCCACTCACAAATAAATAATTGTAAAATGATACAAATATATACCAGAATATTAAAAAGTCACAAAATGTATATATTTACTGGCATCCAATTAAGTCAAGTGAAAGAAGCCCAATATATTAATTCATTATATGTTAATAAAATGTTAATGTAAAAATAAACTATTCACACTTACATGTTGTCAATGTTTTCTATACATCAAGACAAAAATACGCAATATAAATTCAAATAATAAAAGCAAAAAAACCGTAATATATAGATTTGAAATGTAATTGTCAAGTCAAAAGCATTTCATTGCACAAAATATTGACAAAGTAAAATACTTCATTTCTCATATAGCTGCAAAAAATTTAACTCCTTAATGTCATACTCACGCCATATCTTTCAGCTACAACATCTTCAAAACTTCTATTTTGTTTCTCAGCTTGTTCCTTCATTCGTTGGTAAGATTTCCTTAACCAGCTTAAACCACCATCTTCTACAACTGAAACTAAATTCCAATATTAGATGGAGCTATATTTTTGAAGTAATTATGCCAGAATATTTCTAACTTCCAGGATAAATTAAGTATAAATTATTCCTTAACATATAAAAAAAAGTGCATTTAAAATTCAACATATATTTGAGTACCTGTGTATGCAAAGTACAGCACTGTACAGCTACAAAGAAAGAAATAAAACTAAACTAAAAAACTGAGATTAAGAGAATGACGATAAAATAATACAAAAAATTACAACAAAATACATGATAAATAAATAAAAAGTTATAAAAAAAAATTTAAAAATGAAAGATGTTTCTAAATGAGAGTTGAGGGAAAATTTCAGAGTATGCTCAATAAATGAGTTAGGTTTTAATGAATAAAGTTAACAGCAGGCAGGGTATTCCCAGAAATAAATACAAAATAAAGTTATACCTCTGGGGAATAAAAGCTACCTCATATACAGAACAAAGAACAAATTATAGAGAACAATACAGAAATACATATTAAAGCAAATTATTCTACTTTAATCATGATAATCAATTATGAAAATCAGAATGCCTTTAACAATAAATGTTTACATAAACTAATAAGATGTTTATATATTCATCTGAACAAATCACACTTTTGATAGATATGAAAAAGAAATTTAATGAATTACTTAGATCAAAACTGTTCCTGATTTTCCTTGTCCAAAATAGAGAACAGCTTTAGATTAACAAAAATGCATAAACATAGAGCCCAAGCCCAAGAGATACTTACAAGCATCTTCACAACCAAAAAATATGTAGTACAGCCAGCCAAAAAACAACCCAAATGACCATCCTAAGTAAAATGGTTATGAATCACAGACTATGATATATTCTGAAATAGACTACCACAGGGCAATGACAACAGATGATTCTAACAACACACAGCAACATGGATGAATCTGGAAATGTGGATAAAAGAAGCAAGAATCAAAAGAAGGCAAAGTGTGTGATTCCAGAAGCATAGTGTTTGATTAGGATTCTTAGTGCCAGAAAGCAGTTAAGAGTAGTGACTACACAGTTCACAAACAGAGCTTCTGGGATGCTAAAAATGTTCTCAAACCTCTCAAGCATATTTTAGCAATCTCTTCTAAGATAATATAACCTAAAATAATTTGTATTTCAAAACCTAGATCTCTAGTTAGGTCAATGATTGACTTTTCTTTGCTCATTCTATTATTGCTTTTTTTTTTCTTACTTATATATGAGTTCAAATTCACAATGTAATTACTCAAAGAAGTAGGCTAACTCTGCAATTTACACAGGAGAAACCCACTGCAATGTCAATGTCCTAGCTTATAATGAAATTGCTTATGCCAAAGAACAAGAAAGACAAAATGCTGACAGATATAAAAATTTCCCTACAATTACCAACTGTTATGTATTATAATATTAACATAGTTAACGTATTAATATAGTTCAGAGGGGAAAAAACTCAAAGAAAAAGACAGTCTTTATTCCTCTATGTTCACATTATGAAAGAAATCTAACAGGAATAAAAATTCTCAGTCAATTAAAAAATAGTCAAGAGCAAATTTCACCTTTAACACAAAAACATCAATTTGAAAGGAAATCAGCACTCCTATGTACAATAGATAAGATATGGAAATAACCTAAGTGCTCAAAAAGAGATGACTAGATCATGAAGGTGTGGTATATGCAAGCAATGGAGTCTACTCAGCAATCAAAAAAGATAAACTCATGCCATTTGCAGCAACATGGATGGACCAGGAAGGATTATGCTAAGCCAAAAAAGTCAGAAAGACAAAGAAAAATATCAGCTGACATCACTTATAGGAGAAATATAGGGGAACTAAAAAAGGTTATCAAGGAAAAAAGACAAAACTAGCAGGCAACTATAAGTTGGAGTCATTCAACAGGGGTGGAAGGAACACAAGAGACTATGGTAATGGTTCACAGGTGACTTGGTGGCAGGAATTTTATGGGGGCTACACCTGAGAGGAAAATCAGACACTATATAAAAATGAGTGATGATACAAAAAAATATATATCTAAATAAATGTTTTTATAAAAATCCACTATTAACTAATTAGACATTCTACTGACAATAATAGCAATAATAATGAAATATTTTAACAAGCTACATCACCAAATTGAATAGTTAAAAAACTAACAAAAAAAATCAATTTGCACACCCATCTATCAAGTAATTCAATCCATCAAATATCTAGTAAATATTTACTGCATTTTAGAAATTTGTTAAACACAGTAGGAAATAAAAACATGAAAAAGGCATGGTCCCTGTCCTCTATGCTGAGATAAATATTTAGCTAATAATTAACACAAATTTATTAATATGCAGCACTTCAAAGATATATCTATATCTATTTCCAGATATACCCATATCTGGAATCTATTTTTATAAGTCAAATTTTAAGATATGCATCCATCATGATTACAAATAGAAAAAACACAATCAAATGAATCAGGGTTGTAAATGCCATTTTTCTCAGAAAACAGTACAACAGAAGAATAGCAATGAACTAATATCACAAGATACAGATTTTAGTCCTATGCTGCTACTAAATAGTTGTAAGATCTTAAAACAAGTAGTTAACTTCTCTGAACCTTTGTTTCTTCAGCTCTAAATATGACAGCTGATTTAAACCACCTTTGAAATTTTTTCCAACTCAACAAATTTTAAAAAAGAAAGCCAAAATATCAAAATATAAAGAGGGAAATTATCTATAGGATGAACAAAAAAATGCACTGAGCTAAGTGAGAATGTCTACTACCTACGTAGTAACAGGTACAATCTGTTAGCTTAACTAACTGGACTAAGAGTCAGAAAGGCTGAGTGCTGAGCCCTCCGTGGTGGCGCAAGGAGTTAAGTCTCAGCACTGTCAGAGACTTTTTGTCCCCCACCCCAACACTGTTGCTGGGGGGCAGAACAGGCAGGGTCTTAAAGTGGGAAAGGCTTCCGCAAGTGGAGATTCCTAGAAAAGGGAGGAAAAGGAGGAAAAGGGGAAAAAGGGGGAAAAGGGGAGCGGGCGTGAGGAAGACATGGGAATCTTGAGTTGGGTGCAAGTCTTCCTGCTCTGATCTCAGCAGAGGTTCATTTTATACATTTTAAGCAAGCAGTGGATGACATTAGCACATGAATTGGGCTGAGATCATGATCATCTTTTTTCTAAGAATAGTCTGAGGTTGTATTGACCTTTAGTTGAGATTATAACATTATTTTTAAAATAAATCTATCAAGGTGAAAACAGGTACATAGAGTCACGAAATTTAAGACTAATATTATTATATTTACTACAGTGAAGATTAACCAAAATAAAGTCCCTTTCCTTATCTACTACTTAATAGCTTTCATTCTCTTTGAGATATCCTTACTTGTCTGGGCCAGGCAGCACCTTAAGAGGCTAAGGCAATCCAGTTGTAAACTGAAGGTTACTCAGAATATTTTGATATTACACAAAAAAGGGAGGTCATAACATAAGTTAGTGTGGAAATTCTGATTTTTCAGAGCACTTCCCCTCCACCCGTACCGTGTCTGACCACAGAAGTTGCATAGCTTGTGTCACAGCACTATCAAACTATCACCAGCCAGTGTGGCTGGCACAAGTTTGATCCCCAGCCAGGAAGCTGACCCACAGGGTACAGCAACCCTCTCTTGCCTTGCCTGCTGCTCCCCTCGGCAGTCTGCCTGTTCTGCTCCCCACTCTGTCTCTGGTGAATCCTCTCACAGCCCCTGCCTGTAACCCAGGTCTTTTATGCATAAATAAATAAATCTTTAAAAAAAGAAAACCAGGGTGCTACTAATCACATGACTTCAGCAAAATACCTGGCCACCCTAAGCCTTAGTTTCTTGAACTCTAAAATTAGGACAACAGAATCTACTTTGCTATCTCCACACAACTGCTATGAAAACAGCTGATATTCAATGTGCCATGTAAATTTTAAAATGGTAAAATACTATTACTAAAATACAATTAAAAATAACTTTGTATGGATACTGAAAATGATTTACTTGCCTTTCCACCTAACTTTCCCTAAAAGAAAAAAATTAAGATTAACACACTAATTATTGAAAGTATAGCATCTTAATCATTAACAATAAAATATGATAAAATCATTCCAAAACATTTCATCATAAGGACAAATATTTGATTTCATCATCATTGGGTACTTAATATCTTTCAGATATAATGCTAAAAGATTTTCTCATTTAATCCTAAGAGTAACAGAAGCTAGGTACTATCATTATTCTTTATTATAGATGGATAAACTGAGCCCAGATCAGGTCAGGAAATTTCCCCAAATTTACAATTAATAAATGTAAATGCCAAAATTCTAATTCCAAGAAGCTGAACTCCATAGTCTGATCCCTAACTACAATGCTGTCACCTATACACACCTCCTTAATACCAATGTCTTACCACTTTAATTGCTATTAGTTTCAGATATCTGCAAATGCAGTAAATTCTGCATTTTGTTTTCAAACCTTAATTTCAACTCTAGGAGCTTCAGCTCTGACAAGCACAGGCTTTCTGTTATTTTTTCCACCAAAAAACTAACATATGGGAAAAGGAAGTAGTGAAAGCTGGGCATGAAGAGGAAGGAAGAAAGACTGTCCAAAAGCTAAGCTAAGCCATGTTGCTTTGAGTTCTCTGATTCTGCTATTTTAGCCTATACAACTGTCATGGAAGAACTTGGCATTCTCTCCACACCCTGAGACTAAGAACCTCAAATACTGCAAAAACTGTCAGTTTTGTCAGTTCTAGATTTTCTCCATAAATAATTTGTTGAGTATTCTGACAAGAAGGGTGGTAAAAGCTTTGGTCATAAAATTAGATTTACACCACAATGGTTGACTAACTTAATTTACTGCTTCCCAATCTTTTGTTTCTAAGTTTCTAAAAAAAAAAAAAAAAAAACAGCATTTCAAAGAAAGCTTGGTATGAATACAGTTTATAAAACCCAGGAGACCATTGTACCCATGCTGAAAGGCATAAAGAAAATGTTAGTTACTAATAACTTTAGTAAAACTGCTAAGAAAAACTACTGACATGAAGGGACCTCTAAAGGGGCTCAAAGGACAACTCCACATAAAATTCAAAGGAGTTTTAACAAAGACCCAAGATAAAAATAAACTACATACAAAAGGTAAGGAAATACACTGCTAATAAATCATTAAAATGAGAAAATCTAATTTTACAATACTGCTATCCATACACTGGGTTAATTTTAACTTAAATACAATTTTCACTGAGTCTTGTCAATCCAACACTTAATTGACATATAAGTATTTTTTTAATTATGGTATGAAGTATGATTTTATGACAAAATATTTTGTCTCCATCTGCTGGAAAATAGTAGCACTATCCTAAGGACAATACGAATCTTATGAAAGCTGCAAAGCAGGACTTTCTGAAGATAATGAAAACATCTCTTTAATATTCATACATTATTTTCGTGAACTTACTACTTGTTCCTTTTTATTTCTTCGAGTTTTACTGTTTCTTAACTTAGGTAACTAGTTTACAACACTGTACATGATGTAAAAGTGTAGGGTCATATCCTCCAGGTGTACGCTGCCACACCACACTCACCACCAAGGCACTGTAAGTCCACGAAAGCCCAACGTGGCCCCTCCCCATTATGCAGTCCACTTCTGGTAGCCTCAATTCTATAGTCAGTGTCTTGGGGTTTGTTATTGGTTGGCTTGATCTGCCCCTTGTTTTGTTTCTCTATAGTCTACATATAAATGATACCACCTAATATTTGTCTTTCTCCTTCTGACTTATTTCACTTAGTTAATCCCTCTAGCTCTATCATATTGTTGATGTATTACAGCTTTGAGAAATCACACTTTGTATTAATGCATTCAAGATAGAAACTGAAATATGAAAACAGCAAGTATAAATACATATATTTAGTCAATGTGCACACAAATAAATCCCTATTAAAAAACTTTCCAAGAACTAATTATTTAAAGAAAGCTCCAGAGACTGCAAACATTTTATCAATGCTCAGTCATACGTAAGCTGAACATTTAGGAATAATCCAGAGATGTTCATACTACGAAACCATACAAAATTCACATCATACAATCAAGCTCAGAGTTTGTTTCTCAAAGGCAGAAACACACACATATAATTCTGGACTTGGCTAAATTTACAGTATCGAGCAGAAATATTTAAGTAACCACTGATAAAGTTTAGATTTAATATACCTCAAAATATGACCAAGATTATTATGCATTTTTTAAATTCATAATATATTTTTGCAAATCTACCAAAAAACTGAGGTCAGGAATACCAAAGATAAGAAATGCCCGTGTGGCTGCAACCAAAATCCAGAACTACCTTTAGTAACTGGTGCCGCACTGCAATCTTCTGGTGGAAGACCTGTCCCACCGTCCTTCCAGTAAGGATTTAGTTCTCTTTCCAGCAGTTTAGACTAGAACAAAACATTTTCAAAAGTCATAATTTAAATAAATACCATCATACAATATGCTAGCCATAAAACTGAGACCCAGCTAACAGCTGTAACACTGGGTAAGTATTATTTAATACACTTTAAGACATGCTCTTCTACAATTCGCAGGGAATAATGGCAAGGATGACACAATAATATACTGTAGTGAATAAATTATAATTTATTCAGTGTTTTCATAAATGCCTACCATGAATCAGAACTACGCTTGATGTGTAAAATGTAACAGTCAGTGTCTAACTCAGTCTCTGTTAGCTTATCAAATAGTGTGGAGTACAGAGAGCAAACGAGTTAACTACCAAGTACTTTGAAGAACAGAAAGACAGCATGTTAAAGTCACACACAACTCCTCTCATACTGACGGATAAAAGATTTCCTAGAGAAAGTAATATGCATAATCTCAGACCTAAGGATGAGGAAGAATGAGCCAAGTATTCTTTGGAGAGGGAGAAGGCATAAAGATGCTCCAGGTAAAAGGAGTAGCAAAATTGCTCATGAAACCATAGAGCAAAGACAAAGCAGAGCATTCTCAGGGTACATAAAGGAATTTAGACTGGCTAAAACATGGAAGTGTGAGTAGTGATCAGCGATTAGGATGTAAAATAATAAGGAACCAACCTGTGCTTGGGATTTTTAACTAGGGCAATGGTAAGTCATGCAGGTGGTCAACTTAGTACTAACATACAAGTTTCAGAATGGAAGAAAGATTAGAGGCAGAAGGTGTGGCAAAATAATAAGGAAAGAGATGACCAAATGTCTAGTCACAATTCAAGTGTCTCCTATGTTCCGTGTACTATGCCAGCCACTGGGGCTGAAACAGTCCTTGCCATCAGGAAATTATGACCCAGAGAAAGGGGAAAGAGAATTAAGCAATATCAATACAGCTAAGGATAATGAAGGTAACGGGACCATACCTGACTTGACCTGAGGGCGTTATTTCTTAGAGCAAATAATGGCAATTAGAATAATGACAACAGGTGTGAAGAATGGAAAGAGTCAATGTTTCCAGCAATATGAACCAACCACACCACTAAAAACAAAAATTTCAGCTAAATTTTTAAAAAGAAAGCTTGTAAGCTATATCCATGAGATGACATGGATCTCCAAATCACAAAATGTTAAGTTAAAAGTTAACTTAGATAAGCAAAACTATAAGGATTTGATTTCTTAGGACAGCTACATTTCCTTGTTTGTCTACCACAAAATCTCAAAAGTAATCTCAAAGTACCTCAATGGAATCACAAACCCCTTCTAGACACTCAATGTACCTCTGATGCACAAGAAAACTTTAAAAAGTATGAAATTTCATACTGAGGTCAACAATCTGAGAGGTACTATCTGAAAATATATTAACAGATGCTTATATAATGAACTACTATAAACAAGAAAAAATAAATAAATAAGAAGACAGCCCCTGAAGAAAAATAATCAGTCATTAATAAGCACAAAGAAATCTACATGATCAAAAACATTAAAAGATCTCCCATTAAAACGATGGGATTTTGCTATTAAAACAATGAAATATCATTTCTCAGCTATTAATTAGCATAACAAAATGTTTAAAGTTTGACAATACAGAACTAAGTATGGTAAAGAAGAAAAATACATTGTAAAAATAAACCATTAAATATCTTTGCAAGCATTTATGAGAAAGAGATAAATGAGTACTCTGTAATTGCAGTTCTAAACAAGCTAGACATGGAGAAATTTGCACACACAGTGAATGAGAAAACACAGATAAGGAATGTTGTGAGTAGCACTATTAGTAATAGTGCAAAACAGCAAACAATGTAAATGTAAAAGAAGAATGGGTATTTACAATCTGGTCTAGAAGATGATGAAAGGCTATATGATGATTAAAAGCAATGAAATAGAAATAAAATATATCAACATATATCAATCTCCAAAACATGTTTAGCTCTCCTGTCAAGATGGTATATTAGGTTTTCATCCATCACAACCTCCCTGCTCAGAACAAACAGAAAAGATACACAAAATATAGGACATACTTAAGTTTAATACAATATAAGGAGCTCTGTGGACCAGAAACGGAACAAACATGCAAAGGAGTAAGTCACAGGTCTACGGGACTCTATGAGAAAGCAGAAAGTAAGAGTCCCAAGTTCAAGCGCATAAGGTAATAATACTAAAATGCTCCAGCAGGGACAGATCCAGTCTCACCACCTGAAGCCAAGGCCAGGGGTAGGGACATCTCCCACTTGTTAAGGAAAGCTGAAAGATTGGTGTACACCAGCCCACACTGCAGAGGGGGTGGAGAGCAAAAGGCTACAGTTCTACACCATATGCACAATACAGGCTTAAGGGGCCGAGGCAACACAGACGCAGCCTTGAACATCGTTTCCAAACATTTTGTAACCTTGAGCCACAGAGGTAGTATGTTATGTCATCCCCACAATTAAGATATTAGGAATCAAAATGTATCTTTATCACTTTTAATTGCTCATTACATAAACTATTTAGGACCTGCATTTTGAAAAGCACTAAGCTAGAACACCAAAGAAATGCTATTGTCAGATCAAGAAGATAAAAATCGAATGCTTCCTGGGGAAGCTCGAATGGAAGAGTCTGTCACATTTGCCCCTCCCACTTACACTTCATCCCCATTCCCATTCCAAAAATTAACTTCTTGTACTAAGGCATTTTCTTCACAATAAGCCAAATATCTGTCATTTGTTAGGAATATGACAATGTGCAAAGAGCACACTTAAATTGATGTTCAGATGTTTGAAAACTGACTGATCTCACACACTCAATGATATACTTACGCACACAAGATGAATTCTTACCTAAGAAAAACACAAAAATTACTATGAACTATCAATCTTCAGATCTAGTGCATAGCAGCAAGGTAAATTCATGAGGAAAAGAATGATAAATCTTCCATTTCAAATACACAAAAAATTAAAAAGTGCCTAATAGAAGCTGGATTCTATAATAGCTGCTAATAAAGATACAAATGCAAAGAAAACAGTTTCTCAAAATGTTTATGTTCTCATAAAGGAAACAGGATATGGCTATTAAATTATAGCATCCTACAGAAATCTACCAGTACTATACAGTAGCGGACCAAATGAAGTGTTACTAGAACATAAAGGGATAAAGAGACTCATTCCAGTAAAGGGAAACTGGGAGAATTTCTTTATCCACTCAAGTCAGTGGATAAATAAGATACAGAGATGGAACAAAACTTCAGAGAGGAATCTGCAGAGAAATACAAAGAAAAGTGATTAAATTAGCAGCTGCAATACAAATTACCTCCGGAAAAGAGTCCAACCTAGAGTGTGGATTCTAATTATAGACAGCATTGGGATCTTTAAAGGAAAACAATATGCCTAGCACCTTTCTTTCCAGTCAGGCTCTGAATAAACTGAGAAATAAAACAGAAAACACAGGAACTAAAAGACAAATACTATCTTACTGATGACGCCAATATTAAAATAGAATTTTTCTTGAGTAAAAACCAGCGAGTGGGCTGTCCAGCTGAATCCTACAATGAGACAGATGTTCCTAGGTTTAGAAAGCACTGGATCAACTCTCTCTCCTGTTTCCCCACAAGGCCTCTGCAGGCAGCCTGTGTGACCAGCAGGAAAGGCAGCAGCTCAGCCAATAAAGCTCAGTTTATTTTTATTTGTTTTAATTTTCCAACAGAAAACTGACTCCATATCATCGAGTCAGGATGGAAAACAAGGGTAGTGGGAAACACTAACTAGTGTAGCCCCCTCCATCAACAAGGAAATCCAGAAATGAAGGAAGCATTCTCTTAACTTGAATCACAGAAGACCTCCAAATAACTCCATATCATGATCAAAGCTACACTTAAAAATTAATCTGACACTGTGGGATGCTACACAACAAATGAGTGGCCATTTTATTGCCCAGGCAAAAGTTAATGAGGCCTGACCTGAATTGCTTATGTTCCAGGAGCCATCCTCAGTTTACCACACCAGTAACTCAGCTCCAGTGTAACTGAGATAAGTAAGCCAAAGAAAAGTCAAAAGGAAGACATGCAGCTAATAAGCAGTGTTCAAACTAGAGCAGTGGAATAAAGATGATACATAGGTAAAAGACAAAAACTGCACAAGCAAATGAACAGAGCCAACAGATGCTGACTTAACTAAATCAGGAAACTTTAAGAATTTGGAAGAAAAGACAGAAAGCCTGAAAAGCTGGTAAAAGTATTACAGTTTCTGAGAAAAGTAAAGGTGGTTTCATGTAATACTACTTCTAAATAACTGATTGCTATTTCAATTCATTAAAGATATTCAAAAGAGTTTACTATGTTCTAGTGTTTAAGCTGGAAAACAGGCCTAATACGAGCAAAACTACGACACCAAATCATAATGCCCACAAAGAGCAGGGGGCAATTTCAGTACATGTATTGGCAATAGGTAAAATCAACTCCCAGACTTCATACAGTTTCCCCTTCTTATTCCCCTAAACCACAGTTAATACCCTTCTGTGGGTGTCCTGTCCCCACATTTTAGGAAATGTTCCTACTCTCCTAAGTAACTTCATGTCTACCTCAGAGACAAGGATGGTTTACAAAAGTTAGACAAGATACTAAAAAAAAGAAAACTGGCCTTCAATGTTCCATCTGCATAGGTGCTTAATTATAAATTGGCACAATTTACTACAACTACATTTTTCAAAATTAAAATTGAGCTGGGGGGGGGAAAAAAAACAGAGCACAGATCACAAAAGACTGATGATCACTCTCCCAAATTTTTCACTTATTTCTCTGCTGTTCTCATGGTAAATTCTCAAGGATTAACTTCCTATTCACTTTTCATTCTCTCTTTAGCTAGTCAATCTGTTGTTTAACCATCTACTGAGTTTCTAATTTCAATTGTTATTATTGTTGATTGTACAAGTTCTTGTTGGCTTTCTCAAATCTATCTTTTTGAAAATCTTTTATTCCTTACTCATATTTTTGAGACCTATTGTTACCTTATAAACTTAATAAATACCCTGTAAGAGAGAAGGGTTTCATTTTTTCCTACAAGGATTATCCTTAGGTCTTCACTTACTTGTGATTTTTAGATTATGAGTTTATATACCACAGTATTTGTTTCTGGGAAACCTGTGCTATCTAGTTTCATATATGATTCCCCAGATAAGAACTGTGATCATTTCTGTCAAGCCCTTCAGGCTGCCAAGTGCTAATAACTCCAGCTTATTTTATAATAAGTTCTCACCCAAAATTTTTGCACATAATACAAATGATAAAAGACTGATCACAAAGATACACAAAGAACTGATGAAACTCAACAAATAAAGTGAGCAACCCCATCAAAAAACGGGCAGGAGAGCTACAAAGACACTTCTCCAAAGAGGAAATGTAAATGGCCATGAAAAAATGTTCAGCATCACTTGTAATAAAGGAGATGCAAATCAAAACCACAAGATACCACCTCATAGCAGTGAGAATGGCACATATAAAAAAAAAAAACAAGCAACAATAAATGTTGGAGAGGGTGTGGCGAAAAATGAACTCTCCTACACTGCTGGTGGGAACGCAAACTGGTGCAACCACTATGGAAAGCTGTGTGAAGATTTCTCAAACTGCTAAAAACAGAGCTTCCATATGACCTAGCAATCTCACTCCTAGGTATCTGACCAAAGGACATAAGAACATGAAGAACACCTGCACCCCTAGGTTTACTGCTGCACTATTTACAACAGAGAAGATATGGAATCAACCCAAATGCCCAAAAATATATGTCTGGATCAAAAAGATGTAGTATATATACACAATGGAATATTACTCAGCAATCATAAAAGATAAATTCATGCCATTTGCGGCAACACGGATGGCCAAAAGATCATGCTTAGTGAAATAAACCAGAAAGAAGAAGAAAAATAGTTTCACTCATAGCAGGAGTATAAGGGATCAGGGGGGTAAAATGTACATACACACACACACATACACACACACAGTAATTGTAATAAAGTAAAATAGAACATCAACAAACAACTATAAACCAGAGACATTCTATGGAGGAAGAGAGGGGAACAAGTTCGAAACAAGGGTGGGAAAAGCACATGGGAGAAGTGATAGTGGGAAGTCCACAGGTATTACAACCGAGATGAGAAAATGTACAAAGTGAAGAATGTAAAAAATATATAAAATTTTAAAAAATAATAAGTTCTCATTATGAAGATTTTCAGACCACACAAATTCAAGCCCTAAATCCTTATGAATCTAAGTCACAAACTCAATGTTCAGCAAACTTATGCAAGTTTTGAATCTAGTACACATTTAAGCTGACTTACTACAAGAAATGTTATTTTAAAAGAACTTGTATCTCCCTTTATAGCTGTTCTAAGTTTATTAAATGCCATGAAAGATTAAAAAAAAATATTTTACAAGTAAAATTGCACTCATAAAACCATCTGATTTTCTATTAAACACAAACTAAAGAATTAAAGCATTTTAAATATTCTGTTACCTGTTCAAGTGCTTGGGCTTTTTCTTGCTCTATCTTCCTTATAGTTTCCTTTTCTGCTTTCAGTGATGATGAGGACACAGTTTTAACAGACATAAAATCAACAGTCATCCACTCATCCCTCTGTTAAAAAAAAAAAAGACATTTTGATCTAAAGTGATTAGAAAAGAACAAACAGTAATAAGAGCAGGAACTCAAAACTGGATCAAATCCTACAGGGCTATATATAAGTTAAGCAAATATCTCAGACTCTGTGAGCTCTAGTTTCTTCCCTGGAAAAATGGGATAAAAACCCTACCACTCACAATTATTTTAGGGAGAAGGAAGAAACAAGAAACAAACTGAAGACACTCAGCCCAGTGCCTGATACAAAAAGGCACTCAAACGTTAAATTCTTTCCACTTTTCTTTCCTCACTGGTTAGCAGTATGTAAATTATACTCTTTTTCAGGCATATGAACTATAAACCAAAATCTGTAAACATTTCACTATAGGTACTGCTTTGAAAATTATGGCATAAGCTGGAAGGAAAGAAAAATTGTGATTGAATTCTACTCTCTGTAACAAGTCAAAAGACACCACAACACAAAGTTTCAAGTACTTACAGAAAAAGTGTCACTTCCCCAGCAACAGAAATAAAGAATCCTCAAAGGGACCAGAATAGATATGAGCATTCACTTTCTCACAAGTATCTAAAGACTCAATGAAGTACAAACAGCATCACTGCCAAAAATATTCATAAATGTATTTTGTTTTCAAAGTCTAGCTTTCACCTGAAGAAATTACAATCATCTTTCACTTTAATATTCATATTCCTTTTATATGTTCATATTCCTTGCTTTAAAATCAGATGGCTTACCTGAAAAACTTGGTCGTCTTCTTTCTTTGACTTTTCATCTTTTAATTTCCAGGCCTTTTCCTTGCTAGGAGCCTGAGATGGAACAGCCTCAACCCACTCATCTTCAGAGCTCTAAGAATATTTAGCATAAAAGTGAAATTCTCAAATTTTGCATACATTAAATAAAAAATTCTGTGCTTTTTTAAATAACAGAAAGTTAACTTTCTAAAGAAAAGTCTTATCTGTATTCCACCTAATTTCAAAGAAAGTACATATAAGTTCACTATTTGGGAAGAAGTCTACAAGTACCAACCAAATTATTTCTATCTTCTTATTTCTATCTTCTTAGTAATGTATTATCAAGAAAAGGGAAAGCAAAAAAAAAAGATAATGGTAAGGAGAGAACTCACTTCAACAAAGCTGCAGTTCCCAGCAATGTCAAGTAATACTCCTATGTTTGCTTAAAAGGACAAATACTACCCAAACAAATGAGATTGTCACTAGGATTCAAATTTTGAGATTTTTCCTGCCTATAAAAATACAGAGATCACAGTTAACAACTCAGCTGAGAAAGCACCTGGCTTACTATGTTTGTTGTTAAATCAACCAAGCAGCAGTCAGTGAACATCCCCACTGTGCTTGTCAGCATTAGGCCAGACTTTGGATATGTTGTCAATCCACCAATTCTTCTATGAAGCACATAAGAAGTACTTTCACAAATGCTACCATGCTCACTCCATAAAACAACACTAAATAAAATAGTATTTTGGTTTTACAAATAAGAACTCCCTAAAATTAAGTAACTAGAACAAGTGAGAAAATCAAAATAGAAATCAAGATCTGTCTAGCTTTAAATCCAATGTAAGTATAAGGAAGATTATAGAAATCATGTAGTATAAAACACTTGTTAATGTACAGCAAAGAAATTCAGAGATGAGATCAAGGAGGAAAAAGCAGGCTGACAATTATCAGTGTAGCTAGAAAACACAAATGCCTGGTGATAGGTTTAACCCACATGGAATAAACACATTGTGCTTTGGTATCTCAAATTCTTTCATTCAAGTCTTGGTGATGAGTTTATCTCACCTTCACATGGAAGGAGAACAAAGAGGGCCCTTCCTAGTAACATAGCAGGTTAAAGCACAGCACTAAGAAGCTAAAGCCACTTCTGCATGACTGCGATCCCAGCCTGCCCCAGA